AGGAAGTATGAAAGTTACCTCTGAATCTCAAAGTGCTTTAAATGCACTTAAATATGTTTATTTCTTCTGGAATTTCTGACAGAGGTAGTATTGATTAGTTCTTACATATGTCTCAAGTTCAAATAAGAGAACTGAGAACCCAGTGCATCTGAAGAAACAAGTGGTACTGCTGTTCAGCTGCAAGCCTGGCAAGCTCTTCTGAACACAGGAATTTTAATGTGTTGAAATTTCTCATCACGTGGATTTTGAGCTAAGCCTGGGATGGGGATGGCAGTCTGCTGTAGCAGTAGGTAAAGCACACATTTTACTAAAGTTAATTCAGCACAGCCATGCCATTCTGACTGGAATGAGTTGCTGACTGAAAATTTCAGTGGCTGGTTTTAGGATTGCATCAGTTACAGTAATGCTTTGTTTCCCTGCAATACAGCCATCAAGCAATTCCAAACTTATCAATACAACATTTTCAATCCAGATCACGACTACTGTTCCTCTGTATTGAGTTATACTCACCAGTGAGAAGGCAAGGAAATTGATTACAGCTTCTAATAAATAAATATTCCCAAATATTTACCAACAGAAGCCACTATAACAGTTACACATAAATTCACACTATCCTTAGGAAAGTTATTTCCTTTTCTACAGGCAACAAGTAAATCTAAAAGAGAGGGTCTTTTTTTTTTTTTCTTCCTTCACAGGACAGACTTTCACCTGTGCTTGCTTTTACTGTCCTCCTTTCTCTCTTGCACAAAGTACAGCCATGGCTGCAAAAGCCAAGCAGTACACTTCAGAGTAGAGCCCACCTAAATCATATATTCATGAAATGTGGCTGCCGTGTTCCATTTCATTTTTTTTTTTACTAGACACATATGTTCAAGACCTAGTTTCCATCACGATGGATTCATCTGACTTGGCAACTACTTGAGCACTTGTGAAAAACATGACAAATTCTATAATTCAGTAATTTTCAGATTTTAAAATGAAGATACAGATAAGTCTGTTCCAGTGTTTACAATCTACTCTCAGTAATAATAAAACAGAACTAATGAAAAAATAGCTGCATCCCTACTAGACTTGCTGGTCTTTGTTCTACATGCTGCAGTATACACAGTTTAGTCTACTTTGAGTAACTGAAGAGACTTTACCCTGAGAATAATGACAAACTGTTCAGGCATGTAAATTTACAACATTACCCACCCATATTCATACATACACATCTTGTATTCTCCTTTTAAATGGCTGGATAAAAACATTACAACCCAATACAAATCGTACACTCTGTTTTCAAAACATGCATTTACTGTAAGATAAGCAATTATACCTCTTGAACTGTGTGGCAAGTCCCTTTTTATAAATATTTACCTGCTCCACATAAATTCCATAGGTAATGGATTTGCATCAGCATTACATTTGAGCTGAACGTTCCCTCTTCCAATGAACCAGTTTCCATCATAGCCAGTTACTGAAACTTCTGGGGCATCTGACAAAAAAAGATTTCATCTATCAATCACAACTTTTTTGTTAAGAGTGAATTGTGTGTAATGGTCAGATCAGTGGAACAGAAGGGCGCTTTTTTTTTTTCTTTTTTTTAGGGGGGAGAGGGAGGAAGTAGGATGTGTGCTTTCATTATTGTTTGTCTGTTTGTTTTTAATTTAAAGACCACCAGCATCACCAAAATACAGCGAACACAATGCAGTTTCAAGCTACAGTATAATATGTAGCAACAAACAAGTTGTTTTAATCAGTGCAACTTGTCTCGTGTTTTCAGCAAAACATACATACAGCATCCTGGGGAAGTGAGAGGACTTCAGAAGAAAAGAATCCGTTTCAATTTTTGGGGAAGTGAGGAATGGTAATTTAGAGCTACTTCCCAGTACAAAGATACAGCAAAGGGTCAGAAACGGCCTTTGGAAGAAAACAGGTAATTAGGAAATCACCAAAAAGGTCACAGATGCCAGTTATAAAGGTTAAGTTATCCACCAGCACCAATAGGTAGAATTAAGTCATTAAGGCTCTAAAAAGCAAGGAGGCGATTTCAGATAAGCCAGAGACACCCAGCTGAAATATTCAGAAGCCACAAAACAGACAGTAGTAATACAGATTTGGTATAAGCTCCTACAGCAGTGAGGGAGGAGAAGTTGTAAAAGCTGTGTCAGGGAAGAATGAAGAACACACACTGCTTCTCACTGCTGTGTTACTTACTATATAATTTTACTAGAAATTCTGAAATATTCCTTTAGATAAAAATATTTAAGGTCAGTTTGCATCCTCATTTCACTTTAAATATGAAACTTTATTCTCTTATTCACTCTTTGAGACAATGATGGAAAGAAAACACCTTTTGTTCTATTTCTGCATCAATGGCCCTTCAATCTACAACTTCAAGATTGGTAAAATAAAGCAACACTAAACACTACTTTATGCCAAAATAAGTGATTCTTTACCAAACAAAATAAAAACAAACCCAAAACAAACTCTAGCCAAACCAAAATAGCAAGTCTACTTTTTCCAGCCACTACATTTCTTTTAATTGAACTGACAGACTTCTGTGATTTAAGAAGTATAAAGCAGCACACAGCTGAGCCAGGATAATAAAGGAACAACCTGAAAATAGTCGGTTTTGGTTATATATGCATTGTCTAACAACAACAAAAAAAAAAAGTCACATGACTAAGGTTTGTCTTAAGTGGTTTTAGGTAAGCAGCATTTTAAGTCATGTCACCACATATTCCTGCGCCTTAAAGCCACACATTTGTTAAACACACCTGGTACATTTTTGAATTATCTGAGTGTGATAGTTCGGACTACCACAGTGAGCAACCTGAAGGTGAATATCAAACATTAAGAACGTATACATTATGTTCTTGTTTCCTTACGCTAATTAGAGTGGACAAAGTTTAGTCATTAATTTGAAAGTAACTTACTGACTGTAAGGCCTACTTTCAACTTGTCATCTCAAACATGAATCTTCATTACAATTATTTTTCAATACTGCTGAAATTGTGAGACACTATAAACAGTTTACAGATCAACCGAGCTTGTTATTTTGTCAGTAATCTTTGAATTTTATTTTTAAGCATGAATAATTATGTTTACCCATGATTCAATATCCAAAACAAACAATAGAAACAAACGCTACAGTATTTTAGCTTCATGACTTTATTTGCAAAACAGAGACCCCAGGTTTCTACTCCTGCCTGACCTGCCTCTGTCATGGCTTTTCTATAGTTTTCATTTCCTTCGCTTTTCTGAAGCAAGAAGACCTCATCTCCTTCCTGTGGAAGGTATATACTGATTAAGAGGGTGGTTGTAAGAGATATACCTTACAGAATACTTACACTGTATGTCCAACACATAGGGGTATCGGATCTCCTTTTCCAAAGCAGGGTGCCTCACAACACAAGTTATGTGTCTTCCTCTTGCAAACCGCGTGGGGATAATCATGTACTGGCTTACAACTGTCACTGTTTCATTTTCAAACGGGGTAAAGTTGGATTGCTTTTCACCAAGGTTTCCTTCCCAGTCAATCTGTGCAGCAGGTTTTCCAGTGGCTGCTGTACAAGTGGCTGCTACTGTCCAGTTTGCACCATCTATTAGAGGGTTTGGTCCTTTCGTTAAGCTCACAACGGGTTCAACTAGGGAGGGGAGAAAAAGTAAATTTAGACAAGAAAGACTCCACATCTTTGAGACTGTCACTGTGTTAGAGTCAAACAAAACCTAACCCATTTGCAAAAGCCTGGGCTAATCAGATATCCCAGAAATAAGACCATGGCATATCTCAGAGGTGATAGCTCTGTGAAGCTTTTGCCTGCTGACACTATTCACCTTTGTCCACTCGTCCAAGTTCAGCGCTGTTCATTCACTACATTTAATGCACTCACAGGGAATTCCGGGGTGGTTAGGTCCAGAATGCCAACTACAGTGCTCCAGTTGCAGTGTCTGGCAACAGACAGCCTAAAATATTAAGTTGAAACTACACCGCAATTTCTTTTCAAAAAGCTTGGATTCTGCTGCCTTTTCAAGCATACAGGTATTAATCTATACTGACAGTTTGTGTCATTTTAGAGATACCTCAGTGTTTAACACCTAACATTTAAGAGTTTAAGCTTTTGTTTGTCAGTACAATACAAATGACTTCCATGCTGCAAAGAACATTCAACCTCTAAAAAAGTATTATGCTAGATATACACATCACACATTAAATACAGAATCTAATGTGCATGCACAAATACACGTATTTTATATAAAATTTATAAGGTTTTGATATACAAAGAAATTGTTTTTATATTATTAATAAAATTCTGCCTATACATATATTTTTGTGAATGAATCCCCATAAAAGTAAAAAATTTGAACTCAGTACTACACCCAAGACTCAAGAAATCCACACATGGGAGGATGTGACCTCCTTGTAAAGCCGCTGCTCACTCTAAAAATTTGCAGATTTAGGGAACACAATTCTAAAAGGAAGTTTAGTTCCTCATGTACAAGTCTGTAGCTGAGGGCCCTAGACTGAAAAGCTTTTAAAAATCTTCCTTCTTATTTAACAAGTCTTTTTTTCAGCCCTGTACAAGCCATCCACCAGTTGCAGCCTGAGCCAGAAATACTATCTGGTGCTCCAGACACAAACCATGGTTGTGCTTTTTTAGAATGGCCCATTTGTGTCACCAGTATTCTAAGATCCAGGTTTTGCAGTAGAGTAGCAGCCGATTAAATAATCCTTGTCTCTTGCTCTCATCAGGCAGTTGGAGTCCTCTAAGGCAGGTCCTTCCTACACACCATAATTCTTCAGAATCCACCTCAGTGGACCAGCACTCACTAATCACAAAGCAAAGACAAGTCTTGCAACTTCTATGCCTTTTAGGACACGAAGGAAACATTTAGTTCATGTAATTTCTTTCCCAGAAGTTGAAGCTGACCCACACACATAAGCTGAAATGAAATAGAGCAGAGTTCACCATACCTGGCAAGGTATCTTTGGAAGGCACAGGTAGTTGGAAAAGTAACTGGGTAACAAATATTTTCAGCTGCAGTGAATTCAGTGCCAAGATCAGTCTGTGACTGTTTTCTGCTCAATCTAACACTGCTCATGTCTGAAGAAGCTGGTTTATTATTTGCTCAATTACACTAAAGGGAAAGACAGCTACTAAATGGATAACCTTATAAAAATGTCTTTTCTGCTCTATGATTGGAAGAGCTTAAAGAATATAAATCATCATGAAATTGAAGGTTTTTTGGGCTAATACTGAGACCAAATTATTTTCTACTTTCTTTCTCTGAATGCTTACCCTCTGTGATTTGTTAGTGACCCTGCTGTAAATAAACCAACAGCAGGGGTTTTATGCCAAGTTCTACAATCACTCTCCTAGATCTGAAGCATCCCTAATGGAATTTCTTTCAATTCTGATTCCCTGCCCTCCAACACTAGCAACAGCTAGAGCTTTCTGCTATAACCCTGGAGCATTCTGTACTGTGGAAAAAAAGGCACCTTTAAGCCTGATAAGGAGAACTTGACATTACACAGTTTTGTTATTTCACCCACAGTTTGGTTTCCCTGCTTGATTCTCCCCAAATCACTAGTTGTAACTTTTATTAATAATACAGAAGCTACTGGAAACGGCAGACATAAACACCCAAATTTACATTTAGAATTTAATAGGCATAAAGATCCTAGTTTTTGCTGTATCATTCCCTGCCCAAGATCTCTGTACAGTGAAATCAGTTAAATAAGCAGCTATCATTAGCGTTTCATGCCAGCAACATACTCATAATTCCAGCTGGAAATTCATATATTCTCTTCCTTTGATGATAAAAAAAAAAAGTACCTAGCTGCAGAATTTTTATTCTGCTTCTTGGTAAAGGGATACATGAGTAAACAAGAACTCAACTTAGGTAGCAGAGATCTCCAGATTGAGAGCAGACTAGTCAGTTCTTTTCTCTTAAAACAAAAAGTCTACAAGTATTAAGTGACAGTAGCCAGAAAGCAGGATGGACTAATTTAAAAAGCCCACTTTCTGCCAAGATTATCATTACTAGGAAAAAAGTTTATTTTCTGAAGTGATACCAGAAATTTGTAGGATAAGCCAGTTTGAGTTCACTGTGTAATACTTAGTTTTGTACTTGTCAACAAGACACAAAGCCGAACTCTTCAAAACTATGCAGCTTCTTAAAATACTTACTCCCGATCCAATGTGTTTCAGTGCTTTAGGTTTTTTTATATTTCACAAATGTTTAGGCTTCTACTGTCACACCTTCCCATAAATTACAATTCTTGGATTACACACCAACTACAAAGTAACTAAATAGCCACATCCTATAAAGCAGAAAGCAACTGCTGTTAGGATTCTTACTTCTACAATATATCATTCAGAATTATCATTTGTCCCAGCAACTGAAGCAAAACCAGCAGAAACCCAGCTAGTTATTTTACACATTACATATATTATACATGAGTACATATAATTCATATATACATTCCACAATCTTTCCAGGTGTTTCACTCATGGATTTAGAGAAGCATCCAGCAAATGAATCCATAATCACAAGGGGTCATTGGCACCTCACCTCTCTCAATGGGAAACAATTACACCATCTTCCATTTGGAAAAAGAGATTACCCAAAGTAAGGGGTTAGGATGGGTTTTTTGGGGTAGTTTTTTTCTTACTTTTTTTTTTTTTTGGAAAGTGTAACTTCTATATGCACCAACTCCTGCAGCAGTCCTCTTTTATCCCAGGAACATTCAGTATGCCACATGAATCATACTGAAACAAGTCCTACAGACTTTCATTGCTCACAGTAGTGGTGGTGGACACATGAAGGCAGCTAGGAGAGCATTAGAGAAGATGCTTCACCCATTCAGTAGAAACATTGTGCTCTTTCCAGATCGAATCAAAAAGACGGTGGAAGAAATGCTCTGTTTGGGAAAGGAAGCCACCAGTTCCACGGAGATTCAAAAGCAGAAGAGTTCTGCTTCCACAGTGTAAGAGTTCAAGGGCAGGGGTGGTTTCCTCCCTGCCCTTTAAATCATCAACTGAGTAGACACACTGACAGAAGTCACTGCCCACCAACTATCTCATTCATTTAACTTGGAATAGTCACACAAATCTAAAGCAACATTATGGCATGAATTATATTTGTGCTATAAAGATGTTTAAAGTCTCACCTAATTTGCACATACTGACTCATGACCACTACCTAATTTAACCCTACTTACTCTACCTTCATCTTAGGTTCAACATGGACCTCTCACTGCTCAAGTCCTTACACTTCATAGAAAACCTACATAAAGCTTTCAAACAAGACAGAGCCTTAAATCCTATTGCATTAAGTTTCCAGGGCTCAAAGTTTCTTCTTGGTTTTAAACATGTCAGAAGCCATTTTCAAGTGTTTCTATTAGTTTTCAAACTTTTCTTCTGCGACTGGACAAAACTGGCATGATTACAACACAAACAAGATTATTTCCCCTTGTCATTAAATTCACTAATTCCTTGGCAACAGCATGACACCAGGAATTGTCCGTTCCTTCTTCATTGTAACTGACATTTACTTGAGTAACTTCTTTCCAAAAGAGTATTCCTAGCCTTTATTTTCTCTCCCCTCAAAACCAGCAACTTTATACTTCTGTGTACATTATCCTGTTGGATAATTAATCCTTAATTATTGACTTTTGATTGTTTTGGTTTTATAGTTTTAGGGTTTGGTTTTTTTTGGTCATTCATTTTAAGACCAGTCAGTTCACTAATTTGTTATCTACTTGGTACTTTTTCTTGACCCACGTATTGTGCAGTACTTACTGTGTATATCTCATCAGCTGACACTTTTTAAACACCATTACTTTAATAGAACTGAGAGGATCCAGTTTCTATACTATCTGACACACATCTGATTCCTAATTGCAAGAATTTCTAATTAGTGTCTGGGATCTATGCATGGTGACAGACCTACACCTTTGACACTCATGTGCACAGCTCAGTGTTCACTTGCAGCATTGGTAAGAGCCAGGCTGCAGAAGAGCAAGACCTCCTTTATCAATATCCATGCTGAGAAATCTAACTTGGCAAGATAGCAGAGTCAAGCCAAACCAAGTATTTAAAACACTCATGGACAGCACTTCAGTTGGCAACACAAAAATTAAGTCAGCTGTGCAAGCTGATCTGTCACAATCCATCTCTTCTGCCTTGAGACACCAGTTGGCTCATTTGGTCAGTCTTTGAAAAAAACAGCACGCCACAAAACTATTTGCAAATTTTTGCTCTAGTTTAACACAGTTAAGTTTGAAGAAACAACACTGTAGACAAGTTCAATATACCTGTTTGACCCTAAAAGCATTTTCATATTTTTACTGTCTTAACCTCTTGTTCTAAAATGCATTTCCATAAGAGAGCATGGGGCACTAAACAAGGAAAACTGGGGGCAAGGAAAGTCACCAAATGTGGCAAGTCTGTTAAGCCAAAGAAGCATAAGAAGTTCTGAATATGGTGATCAGTACCATGTGGCAAAACAAAGGGCATTTTACCTTGCAGTTATTTTTTCTTTTATTTGTCTTCAGTGCGCCTGTCTTATGGCGTACAAGCACCTATTACAGTATGTCCACTACATATGGGAAGGAAACTAATTCTTTGCTGAGTAGGAACAGACTAGGGACTAGGAAAAAAGGTAGCGTTGCTTGGATTGGAAACAGTTTCAGCCTCAGGACAAGAACTTTCCTCACTTAAGGGAGAGTTTTTTAGATCAGTGCGCAAATACGGTCAGACTAAAATTGATTTTAAAGTTAAATTAACTTTCAAATTTCAATTACAGTTGTTCCATGCCTTACAACCCTACTGAGCTTGGAATTGTGAGCTTTGCTGGCCTGAGCTCAGCAAGTCATTCATTTACATGCATATTCCAAAAATCATTACTTCCCCAGTATTTTTACTCTATAAGTCTAGATGTCAGTGTAGTAAAAGGTTTCTGTGGCCTTAGCAGTGTAAGCCCAACCAAGGGTGGGCTATACAATTTTACATGCAAACCAATCTGCTGCTAACTAGGATGGAAAGGCATCTTTGCAAATAATAGCTGGGCTTTGCAATTCAGAGGCTGATATCAAGTCACTGAGGCTTAACAGCAATGGTAACGTAATCATCTGCATCAACTATGAAAAACAACCTATGATCAGAAACACCATATGCCTGACAAACACTATTCCTACTCCACCATAACTGCAATTTTTTGATAATATATATCTAATCAAGCAAACTGTGGTCCTTCTGTATTTTCAAATGCAGAATAATAAATACATAGGACATACATTTGTTTTTCAAGTTCCTCCTCAGGTTCTCCATAAACCTGAAATTTCAAGGACAAAACGGACACAACTACTTACACGATCCGAAAAAAAATCTTGGGAACTGACTAGAAGAGATAAGGCAGAACATTAAGAACCTTCCATATATATTGGTAAAGTACAATAGCTGAAACCTGAAGTCAAAAACCTGCTACAATAACCACAGCCATAGTCACTTGCAGTACAGATGGAAGAGAGATGGAAAAGAGAGCCATAAAAGCACATGCTTTGTACATCACCTAGAATTTTGGTCAAGTTACTTCTTTCAAATTGGGTTAAGCCAGTTGCTTTCATGTGTTTATTTTGCCCCACCTTGTGGTGAAAACCAGTTTACATACTGTGCTACAGTCATCTGACTAATCTGTTTACAAAAACAGTCATTGAGGACCACCTCAGCTGTAGAAACATCATGAGTACTGGCAGTACTTACAGAAGTACCTTTCTCTGCTACAAGAAGGAATTCTACCATAAAGGAGAGGGCAAGTCAACAGCAGGTTTTCAAGTTTCAGGGTAATCATTTTACCTCACACTGCACTTACCACCTAAGTCAACCTGTGCTTTAGTACTAATTCCTTATGACAGCAATACCCAACCCTCAACAAGAGGGACTAAATCAGTATAAGTGAAATCCCAAGTTTATAAAAGCTTCTCATTATGACTTCCCACAACCAGTCAAGAGCTCAAGTTGCCTCTTTCCTCCCACAACTCCCAGCAGTCAACTAGACACTTTTGCTTCATGTTTATACTACGCAAAGAACAGTTTACATCACCAGCCTCAAGCAGCTACATTGACTTACCATGTTAGCAACACATTTATGGAATGATTTGAGTTGGAAGGGACCTTTTAAAGTCCATCTAGTCCAATCCCCCTTCAAAAATACCAGGTTGATCAAAGTTCAGTTCAACCCAACCTTGAATGTCTCCAGGCATGGACCATCTACCACGTCTCTGGGAACTCTGACTTCATTACAGAGGACGGATTATTGCACTGAGACAACTGGTCATCAGCAGGTTTCAAACAACACCTCTTTTTCCTGAAAACTGGTGACTACTCATGGCACTATCTGAGGGAATTTATGAGGGAATTTGGCCACTGTAGGAACTTAAGCTGCATTCAGCAGCTTCTCAGCGCACACACACACAAGTCCATATCAGCATTGCCCAGTCAAAGTTGTAAGTGTTCGTATTAGCATGATGCTTAAATAGGAATTGGTTGCTTTATTTTTAATATCTAGACAATCAAAGAGCAAGTTCTAAACAAGCAGAACCTGAAAGACTCCTCAATGACATTAGTGAGAATAACAAAGACATCTGTAATGGAAGGCCAACAAATACATATTTTGCATTAAAAGGTAAAATACAACTTATTAGCAAGTCTGCAGAACTTCACCTTCTTTCATAAAGAAGTTGACTTACCTAGTACTGTTACAGTTGTTGATGACTGTGTATTTCCAAGTGGGAATGTAACTGCTTTGCAAATATATTCTCCCTCATCGGAAAAGCTTACATTTTTTAAAATGATTGTTGCATCAGTAAGCGAGTAGTTTTTAAATGCCACTCTTCCTTGGTATTCTCCTTGAACAGATATTCCATATTCAGGATGATGAACAGCAATAGTCTGTGAACTTTTACCATATATCTTCTCCCAAGAAACTTGTGTTATTGTTTCATTTACATCAATTATGCATTTCAGTGCAACCTTCTTCCCCCAAACTGCTGTCACATGTGGATCAACAACTGGTCCAGCTAAGGCACCTAAAAACAAAGCAATTGTTAGTTGGGACACAGGAGTGTTATGTCTCTGAGTCTTCACATTAAGCCTCCTTCAGTAATTAGCTCGGCTTTTTAAAAGAGAATTCTTACTTTCTTCTGAATAACTGATTCACCACAGTGTACAAACACTACAGAAGCATGCTTCAAGCAAAAACATCAAAGCTAGGCAGAGATCAACCATTTTTTTAAGAGAATACTACCACCAAAACACAACTTCCTATAAAAACAACCTGACAGTTGTGTAACTGGGGTAACAGTCTTGTGGAAATTTAACTAGATATGAGCATTGTGTGTATTCAGACTTCATGAGAAAAGCAATAACCAGACAGTGGTACTTTAGCAGTCCGATTACTGACACAGAGCAGCAGGCAAGAACTGCAGTTAAAATACTGCACTTGTTTCTATTTTCAAAAGATACAACTCTTAAAGATTAAGTAAAGAAAAATGCATGAGTGTAACCTCTACCATTTACCATAGCAGTAACCAGAATTAAAAACCAAACAGGTAAACCCTTCTCAAACTCCCACAAACTACTCCAGGTCATAACCAGCCTAAGAACTCAATTTTAACTTCCCTATCCTACTTCCTAATGAAGACATGTACCATCACACACAGGCAATCTTTCTGCTACACTGCAGCGTGGTGTCTTCACACTACATCTTCCTTCACACAGTAGATACGCAAGAGAGGGCACAGTCAAGTGTTCGCTTAAGATCCAGTGCATTTCCACTAAATACCTAAAATACCTTCCACGGAAGCAACAACGTTCTGAGCTCAGCATTTTACACCACACTCATTTCAAAAAGGGAAATCCATTAGGATAAAACAGTTCAATAAATCACTGGTTCACAACTTATTTTGCCAAACAGGTGCTCCAGAATTCCAGAAACTTCACCCTAGTTCTCTTGAAGCAAATTAACACGATGAAGAAGAACCAAAGTCTTGGTCCACACTACTTTTTTCCCCCTGTGCTTCAGTTTTAATGGAGTTATTTCAGATGCTCCAATTCTCTCTCCAGTTACCCAATCAGTACCCAGGCTGTTACTGACAATGTTCACCCATGGAACAAGATGCAAGACTAAACTTTAGTAGCCCCATTTTCACAGGTGTGAAGAGGTCATTCAACCTGAGATATGAACCGCCTTTTCACCCACCAAGTTCACACAAAAGACAAGCCATGTGTTCAGGACACAAGTCTCTATATGCCTTCATGTACAAGTCCATTGTTAAGAGCTTTTCATTACCCACCAATTTTTTTTTTTTATCGTTCAAACCATAACTGAGTCAATGAAGACACCCAAAAAAGTGACTTAAACATTCAGCTACGGATTTCTTCAGTATAAAACCACTGACTAACATCAACTGGATAAAAACTTGAACCTACACAAATATAACACTAAGCCAAAACTTTAATCCAAGACTGTTGATATGGCAGTAAGTAAGGGCTGATGATGGGACAAAAAGTAGCCTGAAAGCTCAAAAAAAACAAAAAAAAAATCTGAATGCATTTGATACAGAGAAAATCTGCCATGACTAATTCACTAGTAATGCAGGAATATTTTGCCTAGTCTTCTCATGCCTCATAACTAATACACATTGTTGTGTCAGTGTGAAGAGAGGGCAATTATTTGCATACTAACTGAAATGAGCAGAATTCTGCCCAAATTTTGTCTCCACTTGCCACTGCTACATTTAAACCTAAGGGGAAGTGGTCCTTAGAGTATCTGACAATTGCTTTCTACATTTTTTACAAGGCTCACAAGTTACATTTCAGAAATGTATTTCAGAGGGTACAGGATATATCTATTCCATCATGTCATTTAAGTAAAGAAAAACACATTTTTGTTCAGAAATCAGCATTTTGCAGTATTTAAATCTACTGAATATTAATCCGTACTAACTTCAGCATAATGATGCACGTATAAGTATGTAACTCCAACAAACAGCATAGAAAAGCCCTACAGTGGACTTACAAAAACTGCTTAGACTTCTGGGAAGGTAACAAACGGAACTGGAAAAACATCCCAGTTAGCTGAACACACAAGCTCTCTTGTTTCCTTTTTTTTTTTTGTGAACAATCTACTCACAGTAATTGGAGGCTTTAGCTACATAAAGATGACCAGAGTACATTTAAAAAGCCAATACTCAACAATTTTTCCACCAAACAATTCTTCTAACAGCTCGTTTGTGCCATGAGAACATTGTATTCTCACACAAATGGCACGAATATTTTCAGAAGTCAAACTTGTTCATTGGTGCTCCTACTTTCAAGATTTACAGACAGAAACGAGTAGCATAAATACACATTTATATACACGAGCACACTTGTAGCTATAGAATGTTGATCAGTTACATCTTTTTCATTCACCTTCTACAGCAAAGGAAGTAAAGCCAATAGATCACTACTCTAAATTTTATGCATTTATCTCATCTTCTGACACATGTTCAAACTCTGAAGAAAAAAAAAACAAACTTACCTATGCAAGTCATTTAACCTGAACTTACATATAGTTTATATAACAGTACATAGACTCCAAAATGTTTCAAGTTTTGGGGAGATCACTCTGACACATCCTATCCACTGACTTCCCACAAGCTACTTCCACAAGACAATAAAGTCAAACTGCACAAGAACAGAAAACTTAAGTTTTTCCCTATATCAGCAAGTTATTCGGTTCACATCTGGCCTTAGCACACCCTAACGGCAGGGGACTAAGAAGAGTTCCAATCAAGAATGGAGCAGAACAACAAGAACATCCCATTTTGGTGACAGCAAGTTGCTGTGTCAGCAGAACTTCCCATGAAAAACCCTTAAGGTCGGGCTAAGCGTTACTGTTAGGTCAGTTTAATTTCAAATGACATCAGAAAGCTTAGACTTATTCTTGCAGTCCTCCTCCTCCTGTGTCAGCACTCACCAGGTATTTAAGATACCCCAACCTACAAAAACTCACTTGTTCTCTTCCCGCTTTAGCCTTCTGAATTAGCTCTGTCGATCACAAGCAGCAACGCAACAGCAGCAGTGAGCACAGTCACACAATCCAGTGGTATTTTCAGATGTGTTTAGCTGGAAAAGCAAAGCACTCAAGGACACTGCAGAAAACAAGCCTCAACTTGAGGCTTTACAAAAATATATGGTTAAATGACTGGGAAGAAGCCAGTGTGTGTCTTTTGAATACCAGGGCACGATCAAATTACTGTGTTAAAAAAAAGATCAGAACTAAGGAATGGAAGAGACTCGAGATTAAGCAGTACAAAATGCCTCAACACTAGCTTTCAATTCGAACTGTTACGCAAATACTTAGGAAAGAACTGCACTTACATCAAAGAGATAGTATTATAGCCTAGTGTTCCTCCTGCCTAAGGATCTGCTTATTGCAATACTTACTTAGAACTGGAGTGCTAGTTCATTAATCAATTTTTGGGGGGCAAGTGAGCTTCTATAAGCATTAAATCTACAGTATTCAGCTTAAGTTACCATTTTTGTACAGTACTTGCATTATTTTTTCAAAGAAGAAAACTGGAAGTATATTATCTCCATCTCAGAGAGCAATTCTTAAAACCTTGTTCAGTGTTTATCACAGTAATACAACAGGCATGCAAAAGCCTGCCAGAATGCAAAAAGTTTTGGTGAAATGAGGCGTAGCAACTCAATAGTCTGAAGCAGAGACTATTGAAAACCTCAGGCTTTCTCTCAATCAAAACTTAACTACTGTTGAAGCAGGGGTTTTACTCAAAACACCAAGCTCAAGACAGACAAACTCTCCGTTAAGTGCTATCACAGGATGTTCTGCACAATTTTTAAGCACTCTGAACCTCCATCTGCTGCTCCTAAGGGTACAGATGATGACCTACCACACCACTCTAACAAGGCTTGTGTTACTCTGCTCCTTCATTCCCCACAGCTGATGGAAGGGATGGTCAGTTATCTTCCAGTTGTTGAATCAACATGTTAATCTACACACAGACACCAAGCAAAAGTAATATCTGTGGGGAAGGCTACAGCTGCCACTCAAAAGACATCATCCAGAGCCCACAGAGAGGATTCACACTGCCTGTTAGAAGGCCACACAATGCACCGCTGGACAACCAAGTCTCATCCTTAACACAAAAGAGTCAAGATGACAAAGTATGCAAACCTTTACAGCACCACAATAAACAAGAGCAAGACTCACATTTTCAACATGTAAAACAACCAAGAAGATTTAAAAAAGCTATTTTACTCCAGCGCAACAAAAAGCTGTAACAAGAATTTACAACTCAGAGTTTAATACTACCACTGCTTGAGCTCAGCTGATCAGCTGGAGCTTCAAAGCAGCTCTGCCCTGCAAGTCAGACTGACTGTTACCCACTATTCTTATTTCACAGTGTTGTTTTTATATGTTAACTGGTGTTTCTGTTCTAGCCTCAGTAACTCCACAGAAGACAGTGACTGTGCTCCTGCATGCTCTGCTTCCTACCATGCTGCACAGACCTTTAGCATCAAGCATCAGGAAACTAAAACAGTCTAAGACACTAGAGGAAGTTAAAAAAGAATATTAGGTTCATTATTCAAATTCAGTTGTGAGGGGCACTCTTAGAAAACCAATTTTATAAGGCTGAAGTTTTAAATCTAACTACTCACCAATAACATTTACAAAGTCCTGTGAACTTTAAAACTTCATTTGGCATTTCAATTTAAACCATATTAACATCAATGTCCATTTTACATGTTTTTACATTATAATCTTATATATATATATTAACACATAGTGAATTAAGACATTCATGTTTATCCTGATACTAAGCTCTCAAATGTTTACAAAGACATGCTGAACTAATAAGTGAGGCATGCTATGAGGCAGCTGGACGTTCTTCTGTAATGAATATTTCCAACTCTGTTTAACCAAATCTTCCAATCCCACCTCCTTTAAAAGGATATAAGCAAGACAACGAGGTACTCTTTTTCCAACAAACAGGCCAGGCTCAAGCAGGACTGGAGCAGA